TACACTTTCACTCTGCTTTCTTTTTCTAACATTTATTATTTTTCTTTCTTCTTGATAAATTTCATAGGTAATCCTTTCTTTTTTTAGATAAGCTTCCAGTGTCTGAGTATCATTTATTTTGAAAATGTAAGGAGCAATTTTTTCACCTTGCTCTTTCTTCAAAATACTTCTGATAGTATATACTATAATTCTTGGGTTCCATGGTAGATCAGATGTAAATGAGTTTCATATTAACTATTTTATATAGGGGTAATTCTATATATCATTTAAGGTAACAAATGGGGTATTATAAAACTGTTAATTATATAATCACATTACAAATGACTAAGTTTTGACCACTGGAATTCTTGGTAATACCAATGTTCACTTTGTCTGGTTTTGTTGCAGCATGCCCCATTTGAAGTCTTATTATGAAGATGAGATGCATCATAGCATAAACCAAGTTGCTCAAATCCTAAATATCCTTATAAGTTTTATTATGGAAATGATGATGCTAGAGTAGAGTTTCACTACAAATCTCAAATTGAGGGGAACTAAATTTTATGGCTACCATTACAACAAATAGGAATATATATTAAATTTGTCAAAGAAGGTGCATATTTTATGTGCAAATATGGGATACACTCCTGAATTATATAGCATGTGAGCATCTTGCAGGAGGATGGATGATGATCATTATGGATTCTAATTTTCCTCCACTTAAAGAAATTAGGGGTAAAACTACTGATCTTAACCGGCTAATAATCTGCATACATAATTTCTAAATTTGGTAATAGATTTCCGCGTTACTTTCTGGTTATAAAAATAAAATTACCAATTTAGGTAGTAAACGGCTTAGCCGGCTAAGGATTTTAAAACGGCTAATATCACTGGGTAAAACACATGAAATTATTACTTATTTACACAAAAATAATTTAGTGCATGGAGACTTAAGAGAAAATAATTATTAATTAGAATGAATGGAAATAACGACACATCTGTATATCAATCAGTATTATTAATAGGTTTTGTTTGTGCAGGCGAAGAAGGAAATGTAAAATATCCATTTAATATTAATATTACATCTATTCGAAGGCCATCAGATGTTAAGGGAGGAGAGTTAATAACAAAATAGCATGATATGGAAATTCTTAAAATAATTTGAGAGATTTAAATGAAATGAATAAAAATTAAAAATAAAGAACCAAGAGAAAGCAAATGAAATCATCAATAATTTAACAAACCATCTAACGTTACTCGATTTCTTTATTACAACTTTCCCTTTCGCATTCCAACTGTTTGCCAAAGCAACCAACGGAATTTCAAACCGTACTTGTCAAATTTGTCACTTGGATCTTTCCTTCCGGCTTCTTGACAATTGTTTTACAAAAAGTAATGCAACATACAAAAATATCACCACTCCTCCCCTATAAAAAAACATTATAAATAATATGAAAATCGAACAGTTTGTACTATTTTCAGTTTTTTTAATATCCAAATTAATGACAATGTACTATTTTTATCGATTTACCAATCAAATAATATATAATTTATGAAGCAACCAATAATAATAATAATCACATTAATAAATTTGATCCCTGTAATCCTAGTAATACCAATTACTTTTGTTGCAGCATGCCCCATATTTAAAAAATAGATTATCTTATTTTCAACTAATATTTTACCATTTCATATAGAACAATCCGAGTGTATCGTTATTATTATTATTAAATGTCTTCATATATAATAAATAACGCCAATAACATTAATAATAATAATCAACCAACAACTTCTTTATTGGAATTTGATTCGAATATTCCTTATAATGTATTTATAAGGAATTTAAAATTATTAAGAATCGGTCAAGTTGTTGTAAATTTTGATATAGCACTTGATAAAAACAGAATAATATTTCATGGCTCACCTGATAATAGTATAATAAAAATTGTGAGAGGTAAAGTGAGACTTGAAGTGGCTGGTAAATTAAATGTTAAGGTAATAAATTAATGAATAAATTATTTTAATTATTAAGTTATTATCTAAATTATTTTTATTTAAATTATTATTAAATTATTCAATTATTTTGCTATTATTATTAGGAAATCATTCTATCACTTGTGGGTGATTATGATATTTCATTAGATTTATTAAATGATATACCATCGTCATCACCATTACCAGCAAATCAAGGAACTATATTTTCAAGTTCCATACTGTTAGAAAATAAAAGAATATTATTACCAGGGATCCATGAATTTTATTTCGAATTTCTTTTACCAGGAGATTTACCAGAATCAATGAGTTCAGATGCAATTTCATGTAAATATTTTCTTAAAGCAGAATTAATAACCAGACTTCCGGGTAAATTGTCAACAGACAATAACAAATTAATTGACATTGTTGATCTGTTGATTGAAAGAGCTGTTTTAGAAACTGATGATAATATAAAAAGAGGATTAAAGCCAACAAGATTCATTGGTGGAAATAATGATTTGCTTGATTTTGAATTCATATTACCAAAAATAATGAAATTAAATTCAAATTCAATTGAACTTATTGCTAGATGGGATGGCTTTAATAGAAGAGTTGGCAAGATTAGTTTTTGTTTTATTCAAAGTGAATGCTATAGTATCACAAATAATGAATGTGTTGCTCACAATGAAAAATCAATTGCTGGACCATTTTATTTCCAATTACCAAAAAACGAACCGTTGAAACTTCAAAGTAGACCAATGATATTTAAATTACCAATATGTGAATCGTTTGTAAACGATTGTGATTTATTTAACATTAAAATAAGACATCAATTGAATGTCGAAATTCAATTAAGCAACTTTTGTAAAGATCAAGTTAAATTCAGGTTAGTCAATAATTGGTATATGCACATAATACACAATACACAGCTATCAACTATTAACTTTTTTTAATTTGCCAATCATTCTTAGTATTCCAATTTCAATAAAGTCAATAATACCCAATTCAGATACTTTGCCATTATCTCGTAAAATTGATCTTTCAAATAGTGTTGCCTATTTACAATTGGGAAATAAAATCTATACAAGTAAATCATCAAAAGGGGCCAATAAAGTCAATAAACGATCCATATTTAAATTATCATCAATAATATTTAAAAATAATAATGCTACTAATAACTCCTTGCATCGAACGGACCTACAGCATACAATAAGGTGTAAACCCCAACGACTCTTGTTGTGTTTCCGTGATATACTTTAAAAGTATATTACAGGGTCTATTTATATTTCTATCAATGGTTGTTGTTGATCCATTTAAAGGGCCAAGACTTTGTTTGATGCGCTCACAACATCTACACGTTTTACTAGTGTATTCTTGAGTATGCAGACAGTAATGCGACCAGGTCAAAATTTGTCTTGCAGTTTTAGATTGGATTTTTCTGAGATTGCCTTTGACCGTTTAATTCGTTTTCACATTTTCAATGACATTCATCCAGCATAGGTTTACACCCATTTAAGAAATTTCTTTATTGATATAATTATCACGTAAATATTGGCTTTATATATCCAGTGCGGAGGTTTTTTAGAAGGTGAAGCCGAAGATGAAATCACATCGTCTTTAAAACACCCATTTGGTAAAAAGGGAATATTATTTAAATCATATTGTACCGTTGGCTGGATCAACTGTAATCCACGATCCAAGAGCTAATATTTTTAAAGAGTCATCATACCATTGATAAATAATATTTAAGTCGCGAAGCAAGAAATTCTTCTACGACCTCCTCTTCCAGCTCGTTATATATAAATAATAATAATAGTGTTAGTACTAATGATGATTAGACCGTTTTTGTTTTGAATTATTCTATTGTTGCTGCAAAAATGCCTAATGCATTTTCACGATCCATTAAAATCTTTATCCGCTTGTGACATATTGCGGTCTTTTACTGACAGAAAGAAATCATCGAATAATGAATGATTTGATTATTATTTTTTTTTTTTGAAATTATTATTAAACTGCTTTTATGGGAACCCAACTTGTCAAGTAATTTTCTCTAACAGCGAAAAAAGAGTTTCTTTCTTTGACTTTCTTATTATACATTATCAATTATCAGGTAATTACCCTGTTCGCAAAATTCATTACTATTGAACTCATCCATTTATCAATTAAAAATGTAAAAGTTTCGTGATCAAAAATACCATTGCAGAGAATTGTTCAACTCCCCGGTAATCAGGAATCCCATCCCGCAAAATTTTCTGTCGATGGGTTTTACCTGCGCTAGGTATCAAGGCTATGTCAACCAAAATCTCTAGTTTCGTCAACGATTTGCCAAAAACACGTTGCAGTAGCATCCATTTAGCTGTACTCCCTTCACCAAATCCTACTTTTCGTATACTACATAATTGATTTGATCTAAGCAATCGAAGCTTGCCTCAAATACATCACAACTGCCATCGGATTCTAACCACCAGCTGCTCTAATTTGTGATAGGCTCAAAGTACCATTCATGGTTGCAGTGATGTCACCAATTCTTAATGAATATGCCGTAAATCTACCATTCAAACTATGCATGTGGTCAAAATTATAAAACCAAGACGTTGCATTACTTACCATACATAATATGTAATTAGAACAAGACGTAATTTCTCAGGATGAAGATGCTTAATTTTAAAAAAGGAAATCATGCGACATTTGATGCAGTGGCTAGTTTTAATCGACATGTTAAGTCGCGTAAAAACTTTCAGGGATTGCTGATTAAATTCTCGGGTATGTTTTTCTTATGTTTGTCAATTAAATAATTATTGACGTCACATCTATTGTTTGTTTTCTCGTGCACATTCTATATATTCCTTGTAAATCTTTCGATGGATGAAACTGATGGATTTACACACCTTTTCTATGGTTAAAGGGTCCTTTCTGACGAATCTCAAGATATCAACATTAATTTCGAAATGCAAAAATTTTATTTTTTTAATCGGATAAAAAGTAATGAATACGAGATTTTTTTTTGATATTGAGAAAAGAAAGAAAGTCAAAAATAGCAAGTGAATGAGTGAATGAATGAATGAATGAATGAAATATTGTTAAAACAAAATCATAAAATCTTTTTTTTTATACAATATACAGTGAATATATATATATACATATATACATGTACATGTACAAAAGAATTATGGTGAAATTTTTAACTTGATGATGATTGTAAAAGAATTTTCTTTTCTTTTCTAATAATATAAAAATTATTTTGCAAAATAAATAAATAATTCAAAATAATTTGCTTTTCGTCTATATATTTATCTCCTTAAATTTAAAATAAATAACTGAATGAATAATTAAAAGAATTAATCACTTAGTCCTTATTATTATTTAATAAATGAAAGTGAGAAATTTTTGATTTTTGAACTTGATTTACAAAAAAAATGTGAAAAAAATAAATAAATAAATAATGAATGGATGAATGAATGAATGAATGAATGAATTTTTTCATTCTAGTAATATTTATTTTTTAAATTATGAGATGATGCTATCATTAATATTAATAACGTTGCTGTTGTTGTTATCTCTAATTGATTTATAATGATTTGAATTTTTTTTGTAATCTTTTACATCAGGTGTTATGCAAGTAGAAGTAGATGAAGATCTACTGATTCTACTATTTCTTTCGGGTAATTTTGTAGGTGGGGGCTTATTGTGATGATGATCCTTATATTGGTGTTGATTATTATCATTATTATTAACGTTGCCTTCGTGAAAATTCTTATTTTGATGATGTTTTTGATGTAATAAATAATTGAACTTGAAAAATTTTTCAGCTGTAATATTTGCTGGTGAAGTGATAAAATTTGGTTTTGGGAATTCTCTGACGTCAAATATATTATTATTATTTTGTAAATGAATATTATTAGTATAAGTAGCAGTTGTTGCTCCAGTTATTTCAGTATTAGCCTTAATATTGTCATCATCATCATCACCATCATCATCATCACCATCATCATCATCACCATCATCATCATCACCATCATCATCATCACCATCATCGTCATACCCGATGATATTTTCTCTATATTCATCATCATCATCTTCTTCTTCTATTATATCATCATTTCCAATATATGGATTATGTAAATTGATCATCAAATTATTACCATTACTGTTACTACTACTACTATTAATGTTTGTATTGTTATTGTCATTCAATATTTTTGATTCATTATTGTTCGATGGTGATTTTTTTGATAACGAGCTTTTATTTTGACCAATACTAGTTGTTCTCGATAAAATTTGAAGCATTTTCTTATGAATATTTGATATATTCGACAAAGATTTAACATTGCTACCAGTACTAATATCTACATCATTACTGATCTCAATCTTACTACTATGATTAGCATTATTATTTTTAAATATTATTGATGATAATTTAAATATGGATCGTTTATTGACTTTATTGGCCCCTTTTGATGATTTACTTGTATAGATTTTATTTCCCAATTGTAAATAGGCAACACTATTTGAAAGATTAATTTTACGAGATAAT